TGACAGAAAAAAACCTGTGGCTTATGCACTTAGTGAAATGTACTAACACATTATGACTTCTTTTGCTTACTTCCACTTCAATCTTGTATAATTGTCATTGCATAGAATGTTTCATGTTTGTTTTATTCTCCCACACCTTTTTGGGGCGTATTTATATAATATATTGTAGGGATGAACATGCATAATGTACATAATGCAAAAGAGAAACTGAAAAATTAAAACTAACTGGAATTGTTTAAAATTGATTTAGAAAAGTACTGATCGATATGTTTCAAATGTTAATGTATCATAGTTTGGACATAGCTTGCTAGTTATAAAAATAAGAGCTTGGAAAAAAATCACACTTATACTAGAACTGGGCAATATATATGGCTTTCTAGATGTTGTTGCCCAATTAACCCTAGCCAACAAGGATAGCAGTGAAAAATGATGGCAGTTTTAGTTCAATAATATCTAGAGGGCCACAACTTGCACAGTAATGATTTACATTATTATACTAATAAATATAAATAAGCTGAAATGTCAGTTTAGCATTACCTGATCAGAATTTGTATAGACTAATAAGTTCCAAAGAAGTATGTCTTTTTTCTTGAATGTTATGAACTTTTCTGAAAGTATGAAGTTAGGTTTTTAGGTAGCTTGTTACAATACTTGTGCTGTTCTTTACTGTTCCCAATATAAAAACACTCATGGAGATGAAATACATGTTTGAATTTGAGCAAGATACAGACACTCAGACAGTCCCTGAATTACAATCACCTGACTTTCATATTATTCATAGTTAAAAATGGGAGTCAGACAACCGGAAGTGAGAGATATCTACCTCTAGGAAGGGGAATTCACCCTTGGAAGAATTATCATGAGGAAAAGTTGTCTCCACTGAAGCTTTATCACCAATCCCTGTTTTGACAAAAGCCTAATTTTTCAAAATCCAGTTATCACAGGGACGGAAAGTGAAGTGAAATCTTCTGAACAGCAGCAGAAAGCAAAGCAAACACCCAAGGGCGTTAACCCTTCCCTCTGCTATCCAAAGCTAAAAAATCTATTGGCTGGAGTTATACTTAAAATATATACCTATTCCAATTTACTTACAAATCCAACTATTTTTCAGTCTGGAATCTCAGTGTTTACAGAAGCAGCTGTATTTTCTATTTTTCCTCTTGATATAGGAGGTCAAGGAAGTGTGCTAACTTCAAATGAAGTCTCAGCTATGTTGGTTGTTTCAACTAGATTAGTCCCAGTGAATCAGCTGTTGAATAATAAGTCAACATATATGCAAAAATCAATGGATTTTTGAGATTGTCATTCAGTATGATCACAATTGAAGTTAATCTAACTGAGATTGCTAACAGTGTCCAGGGGCTTCTAAAATATATAACAGGGGTCCTCAAACTTTTTAAATAGGGGGCCAGTTCACTTTCCCTCAGACCTTTGGAGGGCTGGACTATAGTTTTTTTTTTAAAAAAAACTATGATTAAATTCCTATGCACACTGCACATACCTTATTTTGCTACTGTTATGAATCATAATGTAAATATCTGATATGCAGGATGTATTTTCATTGTTACAAGCTGAGCATAAAGCATTGTGATTAATCACAAAAAGAATATGTAATTATATATTGTGAAATATTTATTTCTAATTACAAATAAATGACATTTTGACTTCAAGCATGTCGTAGCAAGAGTAACAGTCTTAATATAACAACAGGGAACCCATTAATATGTTTACCAATCAGCCTATCAGCCAAACTCCCATGACCAACAGAAAATACTGGAGAGGTTTGGTTAAAATACACTCAAACATGTGGACGTTGCAGTCCTGCAATCAAAGAGCATTCTGAATTCCCCAACAATGGGATTCAACCAAACTTGGCATACAGAACACCCATGACAATTAGATTCATCATAGTTTGTGGCAGCCACACATACAAAGTATCTGGAGGAGAACAACTACGTTCAAAGTAAGGGCCACACAATTAAACAGGAAATAACACTTTCAAGCCAGGAACAGATTTTTGTTGTCCAATTTGGTTTCAGAGTGTGATTCCAGGTGGGAAGCTCTGACCAAAGCAGGAGATAACAAGAGGAGGGCATTATTATTATTATTGTTATTATTATTATTATTATTATTATTATTATGTTTATGTTTATGTTTATGTTTGTTTATTTATTTGTTTGTTTATTTATTTACTGCGCTTATATACCGCAATTCTCAGCCCAAGGGAGACTCATTGCGGTGTACAACATGAAAAAACAAGTGCAATCTACAAAGAATAGTGCAGAACAGTCTACAATTCATCATAATCATAAAAAACATCTTATCAAAACAACAACATTACTACAAAATTACTACTACATTCCGAATCGTCTCATCGTCAAGCCACAATCCGATATCATTTCCGTTGTTCCATTCCTATGGTCAATTGCCAGTCATTGCACTTCTTGATCAAATGCCTTCTTAAATAGCCAGGTCTTTAACTTCCTGCGGAATATTAGCAGGGAGGGGGCTAGCCTGATGTCCACGGGAAGGTGTTCCACAGCCGAGGAGCCACCACCGAGAAGGCCCTATCTCTCGTCCCCACCAACCGTGCCTGTGAGGCAGGCGGGATCGAGAGCAGGGCCTCCCTGGAAGATCTCAAAGTCCTCGTGGGCTCATAGGCCGAGAGGCGGTCAGTTAGGTATTTTGGGCCGGAACCATTTAGGGCTTTATAGGCCAATGCCAGCACCTTGAATTGAGCCCGGTAGCAGATCGGCAGCCAGTGGAGCTGGTACAGCAGGGGGGTTGTATGCTCCCTACGTCCCGCTCCTGTTAGTATCATGGCTGCCGTACGCTGGACCAGTTGGAGCTTCCGGGCCGTCTTCAAAGGCAACCCCACGTAGAGAGCGTTGCAGTAGTCTAGGCGGGATGTAACCAGAGCGTGGACTACCGTGGCCAAGTCAGACTTCCCAAGTACGGGCGCAGCTGTTAAATTCTGTTTATTTATACACCACTTTTTGTCTCCACAAGGAGACTGTGGACCCTTCCAAACAGACCCTATATCGCAGTATCTGCTCCCAGGTTTTCTTCTTTAAACTGGATTATATAAGTCTGCACTGCCAGATAATATGGGATAAAGAGAAAACCTAGGATCAGATCCTGGGATATATGACCTGTCTTGAAGGGCCCTCAAAGGGCTCTTCCAAACAGCCATATAACCCAGAATGTCAAGGCAGATAATCCACAATATCTGTTTTGAACTGCATTATCAGAGTCCACACTGCCATATAAGCCAGTTCAGTGTGGATTTTATACAGCTGTGTGGAAGGGGACGAAGCAGCTTACATTTCAATAAAATTTCAAATCTACAAATATATGAAACACTACAACAGAATTAAACATCATTGGTATTTCCTAAAGCAGATATGGGCCAACTTGGGCCCTCCTTGTGTTTTGGACTTTAATTCCCACAATTCCTAACAGCCTACCTACGGGCTGTTTTCACAGCAGGAGCCTGGATTTGCCGAAGAGAAGCAGAGGACAAAGAAGGGAAGAAAAGGAACCCCAGGTTTTGAGGAGACGTCTTTCCTCCAGGAGGCTGGTGTTTCTGCCGCCCCCACTCTCCCCTTCCTGTTTAGCTGGGAGGGGGTGGGCTTTGCAGGGGCTCCTTGAGCTGCGTTGAGGTAGAGGTGGAGGGAAGGAGGGAGGGCTGGATGGTGAGGGGAGGCTTCGGGGCTGCCTATTGGCAGCTATGTCTTTTCTGGAAGAGCGGAAGCAAGGGATTCTCTTGCCTCCGCTCTTCCAGGCAACCGCTCCATACCTACCACCGCCTTCACCTCCTCTGAGGAAGAAGAAGAGGAGAAAGGGAAGAAGAGAAGAAAGGGAGAGGAAAAAAAGAGGGAGAAAGAGAAGAGAGAAAGGAGGAGGGAGAAAGAGAAAGATAGAGAGGAAAGGGGGAGAGACTGAAACGGGGAGAAGGAGAGAGAGCTTGAGGGGGGAAAAGAAAGAACGAAAGGAGCTCTGCGTTAGCAGAGCCAAGACTGATTTCACTAAGACGCAGGCCTCCTCCTCGGCGGGCCGGATAAATGCCCTCGGGGGGCCGCATCCAGCCCCCGGGCCGTAGTTTGGGGACCCCTGATATATAATATAAATAAATATAAAATATTTACTCCAAAAATATTTTTTCTAAACTTTGTTATTGACATCTAACCAATTCTGCCTAGAAAGATTCTATAATTTGCAATGAAAATCATCATCCTTTCTCTGTACATTTCACAGTTTTTATTGTTTGTTTATTTTATTCTATAAGTTTCATGTCATATTGCAAAATATTCTTCATCTTCCATATAGAAAACTATAAAGTTAAAAATGTGAAGTGTAAAACCTGGTCCTAAATGTTCACATAAACTTTTCTTCTTGTATCTTTAGTTTAGATAGCTCATTGCAACATATTTTGTATTGTATTATTTAATAAGCATACAGGAGTCAAGCATATATTTTAAAATATAAAATGCAGAGTTTTGTTTTGAACATTCATGTGAAATATTATATTGTATTGTTCGAGAAAAATACTAGAATGTGATTTTACCAGGAATTTCCCCCCCTAAAGAGTAATCAGTTTTTGACAGACAATTTCATTAGAAGTGTGAGAGGTTAAAATAATAAATACATATCTACATTTTTCTGGCATCATTATGAACATATGTAAGCTTGAGGTGATATTTTAACCCAAAACATATGTTTGTATTTTTAGGATGAATACCAAATTTCACCTTAATATCTCAAACCTTGAGATATTCAAGCAAAAAAACCAAAATGCTAAATGGTCAAGAATGAAATTAGAGGCCTACTTTTCACTCAAACATATTGTTATTAAACCTTTTGTTAACATTTCCCCACCATCAATTCTGCTTCCTTTTTTAAACTTTGATCATAAATTATTGTTATATGTTTGTGTCTTGATATATTGACAAGTACTCATATTTAATAACTTTTCTTTGCTGTTTTGTTTTTTATATCAGCTGGTAGTAAGACAGATGAAGGCCATGAAACTGTTACG